TTAATATTTATGACCGTACGCCATCAGAAAACAATTGATTGTAACTCTGGAATAGATTTTAGAGAAATAATAATTAGATAACATCTATTATATTGTTTTAATATTATTGACGCTGATCTTAATCCATATTTATTTTTATTGGACGCCGGTGTAATTTAACCTTATTATTTATTTAATTCATCGGTTACAGCTGAATGCTCGAGCCTTGATAAACCGATCCGAAAGTACAGAAATGGCTGAAATGTACAATACACTACACCCTTCGAAATGTTTATGTCATTATATCTGTGCGATTGCATTGTAATTTAATTTCAAAAAACTCTATTTTTGAAGTTGCTAAATTGTCTTGCTACATTATCCAACAGCATGTTACTACAAATATTGGTAGTACATATTATGCATGAAAATATGGAATTATATGAAAATGAATGATCTAAATTAAATTAAATTAATATTAAATACATTAATAGGTACGTTATAATAGTATTCCTTCAAATTTCTAAAAAAGTTAATTAAGTAATCCATACGAACTACTTTTTAAATTATTTGTCAATTTACTGCAGCAGATAAAAACATATATTATGCGCAGAATGTTTTTTCAACGTATCTATATACATGTGACACAATTCAACTCTTTTGTTATAAATTTAAATTTTCATAATAAACTCATACATCATGTGTGTGTGTGTGTGTTTTGCGGTACACACTACACACATATCAGGTATTTAAGTATTTTCGTTTTGCATGTACACACATATTATTACCTGAGGTATATTAATATTTACTAAACGCAAACACTGTGGGATTAACAAAGAAAATTCACGATTATACCAAACTTGTTAACTTTTATTTTTATAGGCCAAATACCATGTATTTGACGATATAAGAGCAGAATTCATAATCATTACATAGATTCACGGAGATGACTTTGATATTATACATCATATATATAGCATATGCTCATAAGTATCACGTAGGTATATATGTCGTAACAATTTTACGAAAAACAGACATCAAATGCGTTTCTCGTACGTGTAATAGCAACAAAATCACAATTCTTGTATATAGTTTTCGTTTTTATTCTCRAATTTCTAATCTCAAACGCTCATATAACAAAGATTAAATTTATATAATACGTAATAGGACTAACAACAATATATTTATTATTATTTAGGTTTTATACGTAAACATACCGTAGTGTTTTTGACAAACTATTCGAATAAGTAGTCGATAATCGAATAGGACGTACGTTCGAATATGTACATATTGATATTGTATACACCTACGATAATAAATTTGGTGCCAACTAAATATAAACACAGTTTTTGGCTATCTACCGACTACAGAGGACGGTGGTGAAAATTGCGACTTACTTGACTTAAGTTTGGTGTAAATTACAGACTCTCGATAGGTATGTGAACGAATATTCCAAACTCCTGACTCGTACTGTTATCACAAAGTGAGGATGGTAATACAAATAGTTAAAAAAAATTAAGAAACAACGTTGATGTTACACATTTTAATACAATGTATTAAATTTATTTCCTACTGACTAAGTAGTTGAAAAAATGTTTAAGCTGGGAGKCATATTACACGTGCTTATATCAGATAGCGTATCACGCTGTGCATAATATATTAATCATTAACACATTAATATTTTAATATATCRAAAAAATATATATGTGATGTTATGTGACTGTTGTGAATCATGTATGTGTATAGCGGCAGCTATATATACTATTAAGTATGTGGTTTCGGATCTTTTTTTGTAGGTATCCAAATTGAAATTCTAAGGAGTTTCTAAGTTTTTCCACTTTGTGTTTTATGTACTAATACRTATAATAATACTGTGATATGTCCATTATAAATATAACTAGCAGATTAAGGAAATATGTGGATTATGGTGACTTAAAAATTATAGTAGGTAATTAATTATCCTACTATATTAATCTATGAACATTATGTATTTTGAAAATGATGCCCTAATATAATAACTATTAACTAATAAGTATTAAATTAAATATTTAATCTATTTATAATAATTTATAGAATMGATTTTAAAGAATATTATTCTTATAAAAAGAAGGTATAATAAACATTTTAATAACTCTGAAACTATATACGGCGAGTATATTCTTTTGAATTTTGATTTAGATATATAAAGAATTTTTTTTTTATCGTATAATAATATTTACAGGAAAAAATTTTGGTACTAACCTTACCTAACCTTGGATGATTTAGACACTCTAAATGTTTGAAAAGCCTTAAAAATGCCAAAAAAACAGAATATTGATAAATTATCATTATTGGGAGAAAAATTGAGGGGTTTCACCTTTGCGAAATATTGGAGGAAAAATCTTCGTTGCAATACTTTATCAGTACACCTTTAATATTATTATTGGGCTATACCGATTGCCTATATACCGGCTATACCTATATATCAAACACGCGTCTATCAATAACTTAGTGCATATAATAATATGAAAATATGCAACTCAAAAGCATAGTCCTATGCATTTATACACGTATGACGTATATTATACATTGATGATTGACAATGATTGTGCTTTCGTATTCAGGGACGGCGCTAGGATTTGCGGGGCCCCGGGCAAAATAAATTACAGTCTATGTGTAGTCTTCTGAAAGCTATAGGTACACAAAAAAAGTGTTCTCTTTACTCYGCTCGGAAACTAAATTAGGTACATATTATCCAAACGAACTAATCTCTGAACAGTATAAAATATCATTTCAGAACTGCGAGGCCTTAATTATAATTTTTAAATTGCAACTGCCCCGATTGCCACCCCCCTCGCGCCGTCCCTGTTCGTAATGATATATTATATTAATACTGCAGTATATATATATAGCAGCTGGAGTGGCCACAACGAGGCTTACGAGCCACATTCGGCTCTTGACACTAAACTTGGAGTATAAAATTAATAAATATAATATAAAAAGCATTTTTCAAAAATAAAATATCATTTGTTGAAGTGTAGGTACCTRAACATGTATTGTGTGTAGTGTAAAAAATAAAAGCCTTTTCATTTGTTACTTACAAAATAAAAAATATGTTTTCGTTTTATTAACYATTTTATTAACGTCTGTTAACAATTCGTCTCGCTTCAAATTAGATGTAAAAATTTGTGACTGTCAAAATTAAGATTAGTGGCCACTCATGGTATATTTATATATATCATCACGTGTGATTCACACGTCCGACATAATAATATATACGCTCATTGCAAAAGCTCTACATCGGCTAGCCGGAAATTCGCACGGATATGCATCTGAAGGTACGAATATAATACATATAATATATTTATATACATACATGCATACATAACATCGTGTACGATTGTATGTATATACGACTTACGGTCGGGTCGTGTAGTTATGCATATACTTATATATTATATAATATACATAACATAGGCGTWTTGCGTTTGCGTATATAATAAAATAATGCGTATACCTATATTATATATTTTATCGTACATGATGCCTAACCATTATATTATTATTGTGTGGCGTGAATCCGAGATCCGCGAGACCGGACGAATGCGAACGACCGCGGCATAACGGAAAATCACATCCGGTCGGAAACACACACGAGCACGAGATTCGTCTTCGTCAACTGCGCGCGTGCGTAACACTATATATATCATTATATTATAAATTATAATAATATAGCGCCAGCGGCGGCAATGGGCCAAACGTTTCTCGAAAATGAAACACTTATTAAACGCGATACTTGCAATGTATTAGTAATAACTAATAATAATAATAATAATATTAATATTATATTATGTGTACGCACGCGTGCGCAGAGTGTATATTATATTATACATTATTATATTATTATTATCATTATAATTGCGACCGTTTCAATACATCGAACGTATATAGTAATTATAATTGACAAGTGTGTACACGGTGCACAATATATTATACCCGTATTTATATACATAATTATAATACGTGTTGTTCTATACATATATTATTATTATTATTATTATTATATACATATATGTTTACACTTAGCACCACGTAAACGCACAATGATTTACGACGATCATACACCTATTATAATACACATTAAATACCTGTTCTAACTGTAGCTGTGATACCTAAACCTGCTGCTTTTAATTGACCGCGGTCGGACGTCCGAATAGACACATTCGACGGCACCTGCACACGCGGCTGTCCCGAGGCCTAATGAAATCGTCAAAAAGAGGAAGTTGACGACTGAATCCGTAATGAAATCATATTATATTATTATGAGTACACAGCTGATCTATTACGCATTCCTTACACGTCGCGTCGCTGTATCAACGATTCGTCTACTTATATATTATATCTATTACAGAAATATGTTATTTTTTGTACGACGTCGACAAGTGAAGATGAAATAAATGCAAAATAAATCATTTTTTATATATAAAACATTTAATATTTATTTAAAAAAAATATTTATATATCATACTATATGCACGTGTGTTTTAAATTATAAATACACTATATTGTGTATATAATATATACWATAAATATACAAATAATAATTATATTAACATTAAATAAACACGAAAAAGATCAAATCAAATATTGCACTTCGTTACAAAGACTATATAGTAAATGTCCTAAATCTAAAATACACTTAATAATAATTCAAAATATTTGGTTGCACTATAATATAAGTTCTATAATATAATAATATGCGTATAGTGTTTTGTCCGACCAACTATTTATTATGGTTCGTTTGTGGACAAAATATTTTTGATTCGAAAACTGTTACGTTGTGTATTACAGTATAATATTATAGGCATAGGTTGCGTAGTAGAAAAATCAAATAGCTCTTATGGCGAAAACGTGATTGATATATATAATGAAAAGTAACGTCGAGAAGACGCATAACTCTATGACCTGTGTAGAAAGCAAAATATTGGAGTAGGTAATAACTACCGCTAGCCGGTATACGTTTTATTATTTTACTAGACTTGTGGTTTTTTTTTATCAGAAAACTGAACTTTGTAATAATCTCGTAACTCGAGAATAATTTCACCTGTTGGAATACAGTGCGTAGGCAACGCGATTTCGTACTGATTATGCTATATACAAGTATAAGGCGGGTTGGAAGAAGACACGTCCCGTAAACAATAAAAACATTATCCTTATTACGATAAGGGTCGGGGGATGGAGGGGGAAAGAGGGAGTACTGTACACTCGACAATATAATTATAAATTATTATTAATACGAGCTAAGTCTAAAAAATATATCTCTTTTGGCAGGAAGGCGGAGGAGGGCATACAACAATATTTATGCAATATTATTGAATTATGCGTAATAGTTGTAGTCAGCGTACAGCGGTTGGCCGCCGTTGTTGTCCGTGGGTTCGTATTTGAGCAGAGTGATTGGCGTGGGCGACGCCGAAGGTCGGTCGGACGTGGCGTCGGCCGCCGCCGCCGTGGCGTTGTCGGCCGGGAACAGGACGGGACCGGCCTTGGCCGTATCTGGGGTCGGCGACGGTGACGGCGACGGTGCCGGCGATTCGGCGTCGGGCGTCACGGCTGACGTGTAATAATAGTACTCGGGAGCGGCTTCGGYTTCGGCTTTGGCTTGGACGTCGTATTCGGCCGGCGATGCGGCGTAATACTGGGGGGCGGCGGCCGCGGCAGTGTAGTATTTGGGCGTGGCGGTGGCCACGTCGGAATCCTGAAGCAGACGGTTCGGGTACGCCATGTAGTTGACGGCGGCCGCAGTGGCCGTCGGCGAAGACTTGCCGTAGAAGTCGCGGTATAGTACCGATGGCGGGTACTTGGATGACGGCGCCACTGGCTTGTACGCCACGAACGCCGGCTTGTGCTGCACCTGGTACGCCGCAGTMGGTTTCTGCGCCAACGGTTGTTGCTTGTAAGTCTGCTGCTGCAGCGACAGTTGTTGCTGTTGGTAGTGTTGCAGGCGCTGATGTGCAGGTTGCTGCTGCTGCTGGTGGTGGTGTTTGGCGGGATGAACGTTGTGGCCGCTCTTGGACACGACCGCGTTGAACCCGTTATGGCTGTCGGCCGTGTAGTCGACCGTCCGTATGGAACCGTCGGGCTCCATCAGGCTGTACGACCCTTTGACTACGTCGCCCTCCCGGTGCTCCCATTGGCTCTTCAGGTCGCCCGTGTGCAAGTCCTTGACGCCGTAGTTGAAATGATAGTTGGGCTCACTCTGTGAACACAAAACAAGATGAAGCGACGATTGCAAAGGGCGCGGGCTTACTATAGACGACCGGCCCGATACAGGATTTCTACGCCGCGCGATGCACATCAAAAATTTAAAATCAACCTTTGTTTACGTTACATATATCATCAAAGACACGCGCTGCAGCAAAACGAATTTGTCCAAAATATTYGTTACTGCGGCTACTGAGAATAGTATTACTATCACTTGTATTATTATTTACTATAACTGCGACCGTACAACACGAATAATGTGGAAACTAGCTGCGGTCCATTATCAATGGATTCATTACATCAGTGCCGGCGTTAAGGGGAAGGGTGGGCTCGGGTTTAAAATTTACATTGAAAAATATTTTATATGGAAATCATATTATAAGTTATAGACTATATATAGGAGACTATATCATATATGGTTATTGGTTGAATAAGTTTTGCCCCGCAGGGCCTCACAAAAGGCAGCGCCGGCCCTGCATTGCATAGGTATATATATAAATGAGATTTAAGTTAAACCTGCAGCAACGCTCGCGCACGTGCACTTTTGACAGTATAATTATGTATATATTATAATCTCGAGTACTCGAGTCATTCGCTTCCGTTATGCAACAATACACGGTAGTGTTGGTATCGACGGTATCGTATACGTATATAGGTATAGTAATATATTATTATAATATTGTTATTTGGTCGTCGTCGATACGATGCGTATGATATTATAATTATATTTACGACTCACCGAGACGATTGAAAACAGCCCCGCACGCGTTTCGTGTTATATAGACTAATTATAATTTCGATGTTGCACATTTGTTTTATTATCCGTTGTGAAACGAGCGAGAGCTCGAGATCCGGCGAAGGACGTTGTGTCGGGGGGCGCGAGCGTGACGAAACAAAAAAATAAAATCTGCACAATATAATATGGTAGGTACACGAAACCCCGACGAGTGGCTTGGACTAATCGTTCTGATTTTTTTATGCGTCCATTTTACGCGTGTGCCTGCAATGAATGCGACTTGAGAAATTCCATATAGCTGTAACCGCTTATACAGCTGTAATATACCTTATACTCCTAAGTTTAATAGCAATAATCTAGCTTATTAACATAATATATAGGTATAAGATATATGTTCCGGAGTATGCTACAAAGGGATAAGTGGTCGGATCTGCATGACGTGCGATGTCGCCTAGTAATAATGTAAGTATAAGCAGTTCGTGTGCATATTCTGAGTTTGAAAAGACGGGATAATTATATTTAATCGGAGGCAACCGCGGTGGAATGCACAAAAAAAACAAAAACAATAGGGCGCAACCACCGTCGCCGTCGCCCGTCAAGACAAAACAAAAAAATAATTATAATAATATACCTTAAATGGTATGTGTGTGTGTGTGTGTGTGTGTAAATCACGATAATAAAATAACTACTTACGTAATATTCGTTCGGATCGTGAACGGAATGACCCGCTCGCGCGGCCACGGCGGCAGACAACAACAACAGCGCCGGCAGATACGTTACGATGACCAACATGATGATAACTGCGGCGGCGCGGGTGGCAAATGATGATGATTTACGYACTAAAGATCTCGATGAGACGGTGACGGAGAGTCGTCCTGCGAAAAATACACGCGTGCAACGGCCGTTGAGACAGAGGTTTTAAAATAAAATTATATAATAATATTATCGTTTAATTATTTTTATTATTATCGTTATCATATTATCATCATCACAATATATTATGCCTCACCATATATACAACATTATAAACAATATTTATAAACATAATGTTATGTAAATGTGTACCTTTATGTACGCATATTGCATATTATAGTATACGACTTACGACTATAATAGTATAGGTATTAGTCATTCACGGTCTGTTAGTTCGCGGACAGCTGACCGTGCGACGATAAGTTCGCGTTTAAATATACGCGTACGGCATTAATGGCTAATGCATTGTACGATATATATATAAGTACCGCTCGCATAACACTACCATGGTAGTAGTAAATGCATATACATATAGTATTATTATATCACGTGATTATAAACAGAGTGCACGACGGAATATCGCGACATGCCGAGTTTTAGATGAGGACACCTCACACACGTGCGAATTGTCTCCGTTCTTACAGGTGTGTGCGTAATAAACTAATAACATTACAGTAAATTTATGTTTAGCTTTAGTTGGTTTTAATGTTTGAATGAATTTACCCGATTGCAGCAGCAAACTCGAAGGTAACGACATTTTTTGGTCTATCGACTGTCAGGCGTGTTTTTCTGATTTCGATTTCGGTTTCGGTTTTTGAAACAAGTTATACAAGCATTTTTTTTTTTAATTTTAATAGTTCACGCTCATGACTTGCTTCGAAATAAAAATGTCAAAAAACAACACTCGTGACAAACTAGATAATTGTTGTCTCCTAACCTACGTTTGGTAATAAGTAAATACACATGCACTGATCAAACACAAATAATGTGTTCTTGCCTTTAGGATTAGTAATATAACTCTGATATTAAAGTTAACGACACAAAATCGAAAAAGCCAAACTTAAATTCCAAACATCCACCATTTGTTAGACGAAGTTGATACGTCCTCCTCTATAATAAACGCACAATAAAAATGAACCATCGTCAAAAAAAAAAAAAAATCAAACATTTCTGCAGCGTATGCGCCCTATATCSCATCATGTACACAAGCATGCCGCGTGGTATAAATGGCGCTCGCCATATAATAATAATATTCGTCACGGTCGCATCAGTAATACAGGCACGTCCCGATCGGATAAGTTTATTGTAATAAATTATATTATTACAATATTATGTACACTGGTGTATGCTTTTTTAACTACCGACCGTATCGGAGTTTGTCACGTCAACCTGTCGTCGTCGACGGTCCGAGACGATTTTTTTTTTCTAATCGTACAATATAATATACCGGCTATAAGTTAAAGTTATATAGTAGAGCGTCACTTCGCCCGTCGTCGGTTCGATTCGAAACGGATATAACATTGTTTGTATATGATTTAGACTGTTATACAATGTGATGTACAAAGATGCGGCCATATTATCTAAATATAGTTAAAAATTTAATTTTTTTTTTTTWAACATAACTTAGAACRTAATTAAAGAATCTATTTATWAAAACTTAGCTTTTTTCAGAAAATTCAACCTAAAAGGAACTACACAATATCGTCTAACGTTTATACGATTCATATCATTATAATATATATTTCATCAATGAGTAGCTATATTTTACATATTGTATTATGTTTTATTTTACCAATACGCGGACCTTCATAGTTCATACATTAATTGTTGGTAAAAACATTTCAACTATAATCTCATTTGTTTCGTGTTTCGAATTGCATAGCTATACACAACAGCTTATATGTATAATGTATATAGAGCCACCGTCTATAATTTGCGTATTCCTGTATGCAATATTATTTTACAARCATGTATCTATAACTATATATAGTATATACATTAAAATATTAGTAATATTATTGGTAAATAAGTAAAGTAGGTAAGGTATAATATAGTTGCTAATTCCAACCTGATCTGTGTTATTATTTTTTTTTTTCAATTAAAATCGATCGAATATTAAATCAATATTTAAATTAATCGAATATTATTATATTTAATTCTTATTAATACATGAAATATAAAACAAAATTTAAATAACAGATTGTTATAGCGTATTATATATATTATTGTATACAGTTTCATTTAAATTTTACGTAAATGGTAAAATGTTATGTAAATCTGAAACTGTCAAAAACATGAAATGCTCACTGGAATTTGACATGTCTCCGATGATAAATAAGTTTATAATGACTATCTAACGTGAATAAATGATCTTTTATCCTGTTTACCGTTACAAATCGATACGTTCCTCGCGGGAGGAAAATAATAAAATKACACGATGTATAAACTGCCGCATATGATGCATGAATCAAGCATAATTGTTATGTCTGTTGTATAAGTATATCTTTATTATCTAATTGAACCAACAAAAATGTATTCGTTGGCACATAAACATAAAATAACGAGGTGTCTATGACATCCGGAATAATTTCGTTCGATGTCTAATGTATATAGTGAAAGTGCTTCCCTTCGTGTATAATAAATATGTATAACAAGAGCGGCGGGAAAAATCCAAAATATCATTCTGAAATATCATAATTACTGGCCATAAATTCCGAGTACACTATTTCTCTGCGGGATGACCGCGCAGGACTCGTTAATAACACAAATTGATGATCATTATAGATTAGCAAACTAACTACAAACCAACAACTATATATATACGCTTAAGCAGCATCTTGAACATAAGTGTGATGTACTGCATTCAATGCAGTATCGTAGTAACGACTCTATGTTTGTTTTTATCGGGTCAAAATGATGTTATACGGAACCATGCTGCTCAAGTCTTCGACGAAAAATTATTTTTATTTTTAAAATAATCTATCAAAAAGCTCGACGAAACGACTAATAATACGAATAATAATAWGGAGTTTAAATGATATCCACCCATATTGTGATAGCCAATAACTGAACAGTGAAAACGTATATATTGTATGTATATGACCTTTATAGTTTATAGATACAATGTATACGTATAATTATGCTAGTTTATCGACACATACACGATTATTATTTAATATAATTAATACATTTTATCATGTAAATTACAGCATCAGTGTACGTGATAGATTGAAACGGAAAAATAYATTATGCCCTCATTAATTGTCAAAATTCTAAACATATGCGGATATTTCTAATTTTTCTTAAGGTAATAATTTACAATATACATGTATAGTTAAAATATACTATACGCAAAAGCCACGGCCAAGTTTACTCACAAATTATTTGTGTGACAAGTCCAAGGAAGAAATCCCTATGTGTGAATTCTGCAGTGGTATTGCCATGTTGGCCTAACAATCAACTARTAACACATTTTGATCATCTGTAATTCTTAACATTTCCAACCCAACTTAGGACATCATCCATAGATATGCCTTACTCGGACCAGACCCGGAAAACAACGTTAAGACGTTAATTTTAATAAAACAAATCGATATAGTTAAAAAAGAAAAATGTAGTTTTTTGTATAAGAAATCTATATTAAAATTAATGACCCCATACAGTAACTAATTTTGTATTTAAGATAAATAAAATTAGAAATAATAATACATAATAATAATATTATTGATAGTATAGATTAATACACACCTTCCATTTCCTATTTTTTTCACTCAATATTTATATTAAATGATTATTAGGAGAAATCATATGAGTATATGACACATTAAATTTTTTTGAAGGAAATTTAAAAATTTCTTAGTATTTAAACAATTACATCAAACTTCATTAAAATWAAAATATACTCAWCAATATTTAAATGTTTAAACTAACAGGCAACAAAAAACGATCGTGATAAATAGTCATTGATTTATTTTATCCTCAACTAATTTATTATAATTTAATATAATAATAGATATGTAAGTACCTATTATATTATGTAAGTGCCAGGTACTTAAAATAATTAAATTTATCCGGAAAAAGATAACCAAATAAGATTTTAAGAATATTTATAAAATGGATTCGATAATATCAAATAAAATATCTAAATATACAAAAATTTCTACGAAAAATAATTATTTAGTATTTAATAAAACACCTATTAAAACTTTATTGCTTCTAATATTGATAGTGAAAACTTAATTATAGTCAACTGACTATTTCTTATGTTTTTACATTGTTGTATTAAATAATTTTAAGTAYTAATCAGGAGTAATTCATTTTAACTACAAACGTACGTTTGGCCGTAATTTAAACTAAAATAAAATTTATAAAAAGCATCAATATCAATTGAAAAAGTTCATGACTATAAAAAATGAATGTTCCTATAGTAATATTATTCATTTTATTTTTATTTCAAACCAAATGAGGAATAAAATTATGGAAAGCCGTTTTAAAACTGTATATAATTATTATTAATTAGTATACAATAACAATATGTATTGTATTATTTCTTATTAAAATAGTATAATGATTATTTACATGAATGGTTAGCTTATATTATTGTAAAAGTAAATCCTTACCTTATAGTGTAATAATATAGCTTGCACAAAAAAAAAAAAAAGTGTAAAGCGTATAAATCCAAACCCGATCACAGACTTAGTAGGTAACTCGTAATGGATACGAAAACACACTGAACGCTGAATCGGTTGCACTGGACGTTTTAAAATGCTTTAGACCAACGAGCTGGACTTGATATACTTCCGATTTCACTGTATAGTTTCTTCCCATCCCTCTCTTAATTTTCTTTCTCTACGCGTCTTTCTCTCTCCCTCTATCACTCTTTCTCACTCTAGCACCGTTAAGGTTCTAAGAAACGGCTTTAGTTATATTTTGTATTTGTTTTACGTATATAGTGCAATGTTATACAACCCCCACGCTTGAGTATTATTGTACAGCACAAACCACGTGAATTCCCGAGTCAATTGTTTCAGCATTAGAATGTAATAGATAGACGATAAACTTATAATAAGGTGAAGCAATTTGTATTCTTAAAAAAAAATATAATAATGATTTATAGCTGTAGTGAACATAAGCTAGACGTATTTTAATTACTATATTTACTAACGTCTGATAAAAAATAATTTCTTATTTTTTTTTTTTTATGTGTGTGTGTGTGATTATTGCGTTATGCTGTTAGGTAAAGTAATAATGCCTATACCCCAATTTAAATAAAAGTAAAATTGTTTAAATGAATTTTCATCTTATAGTTTTCATTTAATGGACAGTTATCTGAATAATTTTAATATTTTAGTAAACTTATGAAAAATATATGCTTCACAACTTCATAAGTATAACAATGTTTCACTTAAATTAATTATTAATTATCTGTTCTGATATATACTAGTGTTACTAGCAATACAGTTATTCTATAATTGAACCTCAACACATTCATAAAACATAAGAAGTATTGTTTTAGTATGAACTTGCTAAACTGCATAGCTGCTGTCATTTAAACTAATCATTATATATTATTATCGTACAATAAATTAGTGTAATTCACCAAAACATTTATAAATATACTGATTTTAGTATTTTACTAATACTATACCTACCAAAATATAATTTATAATAAGGAATTGTTAGTGATCATATTCGTTAATATAACGTTTCAAGAATCTTAAATACTTTAATAGATATAACTATACGATATGACTCATAATCCCAAATGCAAGCAAAAAGCGCAAAAATAAACACAAAACACCCATAAAAATAAAAAGCATTTTTCGTTTTTTGTCTATTTGATTGTAGTCTTAGGTAAACTTGGTGTTCTTTAAATAGATACTTGAATAATATTATACATTGATGGGCGTAGATTGTGTATTTCAAGTGATAGTGGTATTCTAAATCATTAGTATATCATTAGTAGTCCTTGGCACACTCGGAAATGGCTCAACCCAAAGGTGTGGTAGATATTTGCTAAGACCGTGAGACATGTCCTTTGTGATAAAATTATAAAACTAAAGTAACGTTTTTAAAATTTTCATTTGATGTAAGTTTATACTGTTTATTTAAATGTATATCGATCTTAAATGATTATTAACCGTTAAATCGTATTTCATACCATAAAAAAATTTGAAATACGCAAATATATAATATATCTAAAGTTAACCTGAACTCGATCATTGTTGTTTTTGAAATAGAAAAATACCCTAGTATATTGAGTCTATACTTGAGAACCAAATAAACTGAAACTTTTAAGTGCGACAGGTGTAATGCTTTTTTTTTATTGGAATAAAAGGCTTTAACATCACAGGTCATTAGCCTAAAAGTAATTTTATGGGGAGACATTTCTATAAAGGGGGATGTAAAATATATTATGTACAATTTTTTTCTTTGATTACATTCATTTTGATAAACCTAATATTGCTTTTATATACARTCAATAAGTGCAAATCATTGGATTTTCCAAACCACATAACATATTTATTACAATTAAACAATACTTGTAATTATTATTTCCGAAACAATTGCATTTTACACAGCTAAATTAAATTATATTATATAACACAACTTATCAATCATTTCCTAATACAGAATGTAACAGAAAGACCTGACAAAAAATAAAAATAAAAATGGTACAGTAGTTATAATAAACGTATGATAAAAATTATGAAAATTGTATGGATAATAAGTTTACTATGTCGAGAAATCCCAAAAAGAATATTTTGAAAAATTGTTTCACATTTCAAATTAATTTACTCATTATATTGTGAAAAATAAACTACTTGACATAAATGCATTTGTTTACCATCAAAATGTATCAAAAAATTAGATTCACATAAATTGGTTAATTAAAAGTTTTCAAATTAAAAACGTATCTTTTTTTATTTTTTTATTTTCAATATTAAAAAATATATGTTATACCTGAGTACTTGATTGTTATCGTCTACAAATTATATAATTAAAAAAATATTTAAATATTAATTAGAACAAAAATTATTTGATTTGTCATATCTTTTTGTTACACCTTGTACAACATACAATTAGGTAATGAATACAAATTTAAAAGAATAAAAATTATTATTCTAATGTAGGTTTGTAGGTAATGAATATCCACCCTTGTTTTTTATATATTTAAACGTTACAGTCGTTAAGATTCATCGAGTCTACTGTTAAAAAAAGATAAAATCTACACATAGTTAGCAGAACGATTTGCACATTACACCGAATTTATTGCGGTTTACGTTGCACGAAACGTCGAAACATGTATATATAATGTCAATAAAATATATTTATTGGACCATTAACGAATATGGTTGTTTTATTCGATGTTTAGTTAATCGGTCAAGCGAATCGAGATTTGATAAGAATATAATTTTCGCGCATAATATAAAATATACACATAATTAGTGACCATACCCGGAGGAAGTAGTTGTATTGTAGTTAACAGACAAAATTTCGGATTAAAATATACGATAAGCAATGATTTTAAATTTTTAACCATTTCTTATATAAACTAATTATTATTATTACCACACTCAACACGTGCATTTTAACTTCCTTCTGATTTGCTTCTGATTGTCAAACGTTGAATAGAAAGATATTTAAATATCGGTCACGAAGTTTGCAAGGGGAACGCGCACAAAACGAACACGTCTATACATATTATAAATAATATTATATACAATAATATTATGCGGCGTTGTCATGTATAATGTATTCATGGGTATTATGCATTAAACTATAGAACTTTATATAGTAAACAAATAAAAATAAAGTATTAATCGTAAATCATTATCTATTTGACGACCTGTCTATATCATTTTATGCGTGTATTAAGTGTATTGAATAATAGACGTCAATTATTGGTTTTTGAAACTTGAAAGATCCCTGGTAGAAATTTTACTCTTTATGGTCTATTATACATTTATACTGTTACAGGAAATTCACCAAGCCTGTTTATCCACTTTTTTTCTTCAAAATCCTCAAAATCAAACTCTAGAATTTAGAACCACCGTTGAGATATAAACCTCTCTTTAATAAGAACCCCCTCTTTAATTGAAATTATTTACTGGATATTTTTTTCTGAAAATGTAGACGCATCAAAATCAAAATTCAAACAAGCGGTTCTTTCAGTTATTAAACTTTGTTTACTAATGATGATATGATGGATTTGAAAGAAATAGTGTCTTCGTGACTAAGGTGATTTAAAAATTGTACTGTTTTAGTAATTTATATCAATATTTATAATTTTTTTTAAACATTCAAGCATAATAAATAGGTACCAACTACATACAAATTTACATGTATATTATATTATTTTTTAACCATTTTTAAAGAATTTTATTCTTAAAATAAATTATAAATATAAGAAACTGCTATAGTTTAAATTTTAAATTAAGTTCATTAAAATTGTCAAAACAATTATCCATTAAATAATTTATAGTAAAAAAAGAGSTTCTTATTCAAAAAACTGAAGTTTTGTATCGCCCCTGTATACTCTTTAAGTAGTACAAACAAATCTAGATAATTTGAAAGTATAGCTTTTAATAATATTGAAACATTTTGAAAATCAAAATTTAATTAAATAAACAAATTATTAGAGGAACACGTGGGGTTAAGCATGCTTGGTACATAACCCTGTAAACCCCAWATCCGAATTATAATAGTATCTAAATAATAAAGGTATTCCTTAAATTAATTTAATACCTATAGAGGTATGTTATAAGCTTTTTATAAATTTTTTTACAAGAATATTCCAATATGTTTCAAAAAGAAAKTGCATTRGCTTTATTCAAAATATAAGCTGTAATAATCGTATTTAATTTGTGTATTAAAATCATATAAATATTTCATATAGATAATCTAAAATTGAAATAACTTTTTCAGGTACAGTTGGTACAGAAATTATTATTTTATTTATTTGAATTTATATAAATACATGTTTTTCACATACACATTTATTTTTATTAGATTTAAGAAGACGCTACACGCGTATTTGTTATCTCAGTCTTACAAACGCGTAACATAGCAAATTTACGTTCAGCATTTCACGTTTTACTCTGTTAGCTTAAAAATTGGAATGAATAGACCTATTATGAAACTTGATAGTAAAAACATTATCAGTGTTTTGATGGAAGTATTTTTTTTYAAATGAGTTATGCCCGTATAATAAATTGTAAAATAAAAATGCTCATAACTCACTTAAAAATTGAATTATTCTAAAAATACTTCCAACAAAACACTGATAATGTTCTTACCACCAAATTCATAATAGGTCTATTCATTCCAATTTTTAAGCTAACGGAGTAAAACGTGAAATTCTTAGCGTAAATTTGTTATTTTACGCGTTTGTAAGACTGAGACAACAAATACGAGTGTTGCGCCCTCTTAAGAACATTCGGAAACTCGGAAGGACCAAATATAGCCTGGTGCACTATTGAAAATTCATAACAAACTTTCGTTTTTCAATTAAACTTACATGGATAATTAATATATCTAGATTATAATTAACTATTTATTAATAAATTTGTATTTGTATTCATTAAGTAGTTTATATTAATATTTCTAATTTGCATCGTTCGATTCATATTTTTCAATTTGTTCATAGTGGCGTTCATACATATTATTTTTATTTTTGGTGCATTGACATCCTATTCTTACCTACTAAGTATAATTTGCTTTAGTTTATATATTCATTATATTAATATATTTGT